CGAATGAAGTCATCAAAGGTCCCATCGGTGGGTTTCTCTGAAAGATTATCCTGAGCGGTAATCAAGTCAGAGTGTACGTCGCCTCCCGCCCAAAGTCAGCTGGGGTTGGCTCCTGCTCAACCACGACGTGACACCTGACCCTTATTTGGACAAGCACTTGAGAAAACGGGTGGACTGATATACTTCTTAATATCGTTGCAATGGTAGTTTATTTGAAGCCTTCAACAAATCAATCACGGTGACTCAAGGCTCTTTTTGACTAACAAAAACATGCTGGAAATTCATCATTAGATAGGGAGAAGTTTCATTCTTGGCTAGACGATTCGGAGATGAGCTCATATTTTAGCAGACTGGGGTGCCAACTTTTGCTAATTAGTGTAGAAAACCAAATGCAGAAGGGAATGTCCTTATGACCAGACAGCCAAGTTTATTACTTTGGGGGGGAATTATCAAAAATGATTACAAGTTGTCGAGCAATTTAATGGTGTAATCTAATTGGATGATTTCACCCGAAGAATGCTTGATTAAAGCTTATAGATACATAATAGAGCTAGCTAGCTAGCTAGCTCTATTATGTCCAGCTATTCAGCTAGCTAGCTAGCAAGCTAGCTGGATAGCTGGACATACAGACGGACAGATAGAGATAGACAGATAGACATTTAGCCTACGTTCCTCCAGAGCTGATCCCCCCACCCCCATCACCAAATTATGTATGAAAATTTACAATGACAAAGGGAACTAGAGGCAAAGCAGTGAAAATGCTTTATGCGCCTTTCCCCCCCAACTGATGTATTACTGGAGATTGGAATGAATGAGCTCTACAGATTCATTACATTGAGCATCACTCTGCTCCCACAGGCGAGTTGCGTGCATGGTAATAACCCCCCCCCCCCCATCATCCAAGGTTGATGACTGAAAGCTTCAAACAAATCTGAGAATAATTGACCACACCCACACGAACAAAGCCTACACAATGATCTCCTGACTTGTAGAATAAAGGTGGATTAAAAAAAAAAAAGTTGATTTGGATAGAGCTCTCGATTCGCATTCATTGCACTGTCACACAAATTCTGCGCGCTCGTGAATGGTGAAAAGCACTGCTTGGCATTCCGCATTCTTGAGGAAGGTGCTTTTGGGTGGGCTGCTCATCGGCGTGTTACTTCCAACTGTCACATAAAAACTAAATTGAAATCATCGATCCCATCTTTTTGCACTTAGTCACACTAGATGGAGACGCGGGGCTCTGAGGCTCACAGATAAGCACACCACTCGCACTTTTCACTTGAAAACAACTATCGACACAAATTGCGTCATAGCACCCAACTGAATCCACTCGAAGAATGATTATCTTGATGACATATTACAAACTCTTGATATAAATTTGTCATAATTCAGTCTGCATCTTGTCTCAGAGTTCAACATTAACGGTGGCCCGCTGGGCCAGTGCGTTGCTGTGTCTGGCCACTGCCTATCATCAGACGTGAGCCCGAGTGGGCCACTAAGTCACCGCCAAAAATGGCCCAAAAATTCTCTTTCCGATTCGGACCATAAAACTCAATCAAAAATGGTTTCTATGAAGTGGAATCCTTCAGGATTATTCAAATCAGGTAATAAAAACACTTAAATGATTACATTTCTGTCCACTTGAAGTAATTGCTTTGCTTGGCCTTCCAAAATTAATTTAAGTTAATTTAACAATTACAGGTTACTGTAAATGAATTATTTACATCAGTCAAAGATCAAAGATTAGGTATGGTGGATTACTGATTTTTTTTTTCTTTCCCCTAGTTCACCTTTTTCCAAGAACATCTCCATGTATAATTGTCGTAAAGCCAGGCTGAAAACTCACGTTTGTAGGTTCTCCGATGTTCACCCAAGTTATCATCATGTTTTCGACTTACTCTCTGGCAAGCAAGCGCTTGCCCAGGAGGAGATTGCGCATTCTGTGTAAATTGAAGAAAAGAAAAAAAAAACAACAACAAAAAAAACATGATCTTGACCTCCTTTTCTTTCCACTTTATTTTTCTGCAGGCGGTTATGGTTTGGCCTCAGTCATCGTGCTGCAAGGACAGCGAGCTCAGACTGCTGGCGGATGAGGATTCTAATTTGACGCTGTAGTAGGGGCGGCGGGAAGCTTATTAAGGAGTCTGAAATGAACCTCTTTTGTTTGTATTCCAAAGCTCTATCAATACTTTACGCCGGCAACCCGCTATGTTCGCTTCCAGTATTTTTTTTTTTTTATGCTACAATTCGTCAAGAGCAGTTTGTGATTTGATGAAAAGATATTTCCGCGTGAAGCACGACTCGGGTTCATTATACGCGACATCACCTGTGGGTTCTCCTGCACCGAAACAAAAAAGAAACAAACCAAAAAGAAAAAGATAAAGCTCATTAGCACTCGCGATGGCACTCCTCCAAACTTCAAAAGCGGCATCGGAGGGGTCTCGGCGCGACAATGCGGCGTGTCCGCGTGCGGCCTTGCCAATCAAGGGTTCACGCGCAGCCATTTGCCTTTTTTTTTTTTTTTTGCCAAGGAAAAGGTCGAGTCCACGGAGCCGCCATAATGAGTGCAGAGAAAACTAAAATGAAGAGCGTCTGAAAATCCATAAGACACTATTGGGACACGCTTGTCTTTCATGGTGCCACAGATGATCCAATTAGGCTCTGATTTGTCTTTTCGTCTGGATGTTAATAAGCGCCGCCTATGCTATCCTGTTGCCGCTGTTGTTGTTGTTGTTGTTTAACAGCGCCGCCCGACAAGCCAGATGGTTTGTTTGCCAAATACATTTGGGAAAGAAACTGCAGAAAGTGTTGCGCACTGGAAAAGGGATGCAACTTTACCAAGGAACTTACTGGGAGATCCTGCTGTCACATTCAAGGGCGAGCTGGTTTCAATGTGATGTCACGATATGATTGAATCATTTCAATTATTATACATTTTATTCTTAAGCACCTTTCAAAACACTCAAGGACACTTTACAATAAAATGTCGTCGATGTTCTCATCAGCTTTTCCCTTTGTCTAAATAGGTTTCACGTTCCGGCCTCCCTGTGTGCCGTTTGCATGTTCTACCCGGGCCTGGGTGGGTTTTCTCCGGGTACTCAGATTTCCTCCCACGTTCCAAAAACATGCACGGCAGGTTGATTGAACACTCCAAATTGTCCCTAGATGTGAGTGTGAGCGCGGATAATTTTTCATCTCGTTTGTACCTTGCGATGGGCTGTTCAGGGTGTCCCCCGCCTACTGGCGAAGACAACTGGAATAGGCTCCGGCGACCCTTGTCAGTATAAAGCGGATCGGAAAATGGATGGATGTATTCCGAGCGAGATTCTACAACTCTACCGCCGCATCAGTGAAGCGTGCTGCTGGTAATTCCACAGGGTGGAACTCGTTCCCTTGTATTTATGCTAGCTAGCTGACGGCTAACAAAAACAGCGGGATGCATTTGAAAGTGTTTTGGAGAAATATTCACTTCTTCATTCGGCCAATTGAACTCAATGGGCAGCGCTTCACAGCGGCGACGGGCGATGGCCCGAAGCTTCGTGGACAAGTCAACACCTGACCCGAATCCGATTGATTATGCATTTCATTGCCGAAGACAAAAGCACCCCAAGCAACAAGAGGGACTGAGTCGAGGCCTGGCAATGACTCCGTGTTCCCGACTTCAGGCTGTAACTGACTGCAAAAGATGTGCAGCCAAGTATTGTGAAAAGGAACGTTTGATTGAGGTTTGTTAATTAGTCAGATTACTTTCGGTCCCTGAAGAAGTGGAAGTCAGACATACAGTCGGAATTGCTGCACCGTTAAGTAGCCTCAAATTAAATCTGGAAGTCTAACGATAGGAGCTGATCCTGCTCGTGTACTTTGTTTTGATCGAGGTTAGCGAAATGGCCCGGGTCGTTGCGCCTCTCTTTAGCGTGACGTGCGTCACGGTTGACGCCATCTTCAGGCGAGTGAACAGATTTGTCCCCGTCTTCCGTCTCCGTTGCAATGTCTGCATGTTTTGCCGTGCCTGGAACCAAACCATTTCCTGATTTTGGAACTATTCCCACCCCCCGTCACCCCACTAGCATCTTTCTTCAGCTCCATGTTGGTTGCTAACAAGAGCTACAGTGGCAGTGGTGGCGTCTCGGTCCCTTTGTCTCCCCGCAACAAGTTCTGCTTCGGTCTAACAAAGTCTCGAGCGGAAGTTTTGAAGTAGTTAAAAAAAAAAAAAAAGTGATTGAGACGTTTCCATATCAAGCATGAATAACATATCAATTGAAGTGAGTTTCGCCATATAACGCGCAGCACTATAGGCATCCTTCACTGGGTTCTGTGTTAAAAAAAAACAAAAAAAAAAAAACAAAGGCAGCTTCTTCTGCGACGGCTCCGAGTCTTCTATTTCCTCAAAAGATGTTCAAAGGCCGCAGTCATACATGATTTATCCGCATATCGCGTTTCCATTGAGTAAAGCATTACATTGTAAAATTCCACGATCAACATTTGCGCAGGGGGGGTGTGCAGGGGTAGTACTGTGGAAGTGGGCTGGTTGACAGAAGAACACCAAATACTGGCGCCGTTGTCGAGTGGGTATTCTATTTGATGAAATTAACTGGTGGCTCAGAAATCCTTTTCACAAAGAGTTTGTGCGCTAAAACGCATTTGCTTTGCCTTTCACACAAACCTTTTGGCGTGTTGCCGATATTCGCATCTTCCCGACATCAGATGTGTGGTCATGTCTCAAACCGCTGTCGGACAAGTGACTCTTCACACTCTGTTCGCGGCTTTCCATTCCGCCTTTTGTACAGCTGCCGCTTTGCCTTTGTTAACCCTCTGATGCCAGGTTGGACACTGGAAAAGTTCCATGACGGTACCTTTTTTCCCCCACGCAGAGGGATATGGACCGAAGACTCAGCATGGAAAGCTAGCTCGAGGATACCGTTTCGAATGGCAAGCGAGACGGAACATGGCTTTGGTATCTTGCCACCGGCAATCCAACCCGATGAACCGAACCTTACCGTAGTCACTCTCGTAGAAGATGATGAACTTCTGCCAGTAGAGCTCCGAGACGAGGGTGAGCAGGACGTCACTGATGCGGACGGGCGGCCGGGCGGCCAGCGTGTAGCTCTCGCCGTCCGGGCTGGGGTTGAACTGGCAGGCGGTGCGCGGAACGCCGTCGCCGTTCCTCTGGATGAACAGGTGGGGGATGTGCATGGCGTCGGTCAGGGACTGCAGGGCGCTGGCGGCGGCGCAGCCCGTGGAGGTGACCAAGGCCAGGATCCCCTGGTTCATCAACTCGCATGCTGGACGAGAAAAAAAACAAAACGAGAAGTCATTTGTTTAAATTAGTAGACGGGACGCAGAAGCCCAAACGATGTAGCGGTACTCGAAATCAGTTTTGTTCTTGAGACTGGTCTCAAGACCAATTTGAATAAGGGTCGTAGGTGACTTGGGATTTATTGATAAGTAGAAAGTGGAATGAGGACAGACGTGAGACGTGCTCCATTTAGACTTTTGTCACTCCTTTTTAAAAAGAACGTTAAACGTTTCAATGTCTGGTTGATTGTTGCTTTTGTTGATCGGACGACCTGTTTATTACGATAATACAAAAAAATATGAAGATTTAACGACGGAAATTGACAATATGGGATAAAATGAATGTCACATCAAGGTACAGAGAACAGACACCCTTTTGGGTCAAGTCGTAAAATCGCCAATCTGAAAAATCTCATTTGGATCCACCGTGCAAGATGGCGTTCCGAAGCGGGCTTCAAAACGGAAGACGGGTCTTTGTGTGTCCCACTGAGGATTACGGCTGAGCCCCTGCACATGAGCTGAGATCACACCAAGCGAGGAGGAGGTTCCCGCTCAAGTTGTAATGCAACGTAAGGCGCCGAGCGGCTCAGGAGGAGGGCCCGCGCTGATCCCCAAAACCAGACGGCAGCTCCAAACGGGGAGCCGGCAGCATTGTCACGGCCATCCTCAAGTTTGATTGACATGATAGATGTGGGTTAATGAGCCCGAGATTAAAACTGCAGACGCGTGTTTTGGAGCGTCGCAGTTGGCCCCTACATTTTTATTTACAACTCAGACTTTTCATCCTCTTGGGGTGGATCAGGACGTCTGCTGGGAAAGGCGCCAGCACATCTTTGAAAGATGAAAATGTCATCCTCGGTATTATTAATATGTCAGTATCTGACCCCTCCCCCCCTTGCCTCCCCCCCCCAAAAAAAAACAACAACCTAAAATAAGTTTTGTCTGGCGTAGGGTAAATAATGTATGACTGCGAGTAGACTTGAAGGGCATGTTTGTCATCCATTATTGAGTTGTTTGACAGTTCATCAGAAACCCGAGAGGATGAAAAAGCGGCGCAACGGCATCGTATCAAAACAGCTATCGCACAGAATGCACACATCATAAACCGAAGTGAAAATATGAAATCTTTCACTCAATTGAATCTTTCATACAGTTGTCAGGGGCGGGAGGGTTGAATTTGCAACATTTAATTTGAAGGCCCACCCTAGTGGGGAACATCCATCCATCCATTTTCCGATCCGCTTTATCCTCACAAGGGTCGGGGGGGGGGGGGCTGTCAATCAGCCTGCCGTGCATGTTTTTGGAATGTGGGAGGAAACTGGAGTACCCGGAGAAAACCCATGCAGGCCCGGGGAGAACATGCACACTCCACACAGGGAGGCCGGAGCTGGAATTGAACCCGGTACCTCTGCACTGTGAGGTTGACCAACAGTGAAACTACAAGAACAATGTCAAAAAAGGAAAATCAATAATGACACCAGTAGAGTGTGTGAAGGAGGAGGTAAGAAAAATACTGACCACACTCCAAGCGTACGACTGCATTAAGCCATGACAAATCCCACTAGTAGGGGCCGCTAAAATAAGAGTGAGCGAGAACGGAAACATCGGATTGACAGCCAAGTGGGATTGGTGCCTGTGGTTGTTTTGTATGAGCGCAACAAGGGATCGCAAGATTGAGTTAGGCTTTGAAGCGTATTACGATGAATACATGAATTGAGAAGGCACAGGAAAATAAGATGTGCTCATGTGAAGGGAGACTCCACAAAAAAAGTGTGCAAAAAAAACTAACAAAAAAAAGCAGGGTACTTGGCACAGACACATGAGGGCACCAGTGACTGTGATACCAAATAAAATGAACTTCATTTGACTCCAGTCTAGGGTCCGATTGATCTGGATTTATTGATTTAATTTTTTTAAGGCCGATGCCGATAATTGGCAAAATAAAATTTGGATAACCGAATCATTGGCCAGTTAACTATAAGAACATATGATTAAGAAAATAACTTTTTTTTTTCTTCATCGCTTACGACAATGAATTACAGGCAGAACCTTCGACTGTTTTCCAATTCTCTCTCCTTTAATATTTGTTTAACTTTACAACTGCAAGAACTGGCCCATTTCTTTTTTTTTATATACCAAATATTAGTTTTGTTTTTATAACAGCGCCACATAGATGCTATTCATTAGCCGCTTTACGGCATTTCCTATTATCTGTTAGTGGCAGAGTTATGTGGCCTAAGTCTCTTTGTTTTATGTTTAGCTCGACAGTAAACTTCAACTGACAGTGGCAATAAACAGATTGAAGGTTTTTTTTTAGGCGGTGGGCGGGGGAACAAGTGTTGAATGTCAAATGACAAAATGACAAATGCTGCTTGTTATGAACTAAGTGGAATTGACATCACTGACGGGAATCTTTAGCTCGGATTTTAGCAAATAGTTTTTCCATTTTCAACAGCGCTTGTCCTGATTCGGCTCGCAAGTGAGTTGGGGAAACACTGTCAGCTCTGCGGATGAATTCAACTTTACTGCACTAGGGATGGGAGTCCCCTCTAGTATTTGTCGTTAAAACTTTGCTGCTTTCATTTTGTTTATTTTGCTTCAAGTGGGGTGTTTGTTTCATACTTTTTAGCGTTCCTCATCCATCGCTCATATTTTGGGCATGTGTCTGTTTGTTGCAGATTGGTTGACAGAAAAGTAAAGCCACAACAATCGCCAAAGAAACACGTTTTGGTTCTTGGTTTATTTTGGAGTAACGAACATTGATTCCACTTTATCTCTGTGTAGCGCCTCATCCTCAGTCGATCAGAAAGTCTTTGCGATTAGGTGGAAACCTTGTACGTCTATTTTGAACGAAAACTAGACCAAAATCTTTTTGAGTTTTTGTCGATGAGAAACGAGGAATGACCAAAACGTGACTGAAACGAATACGCATGTTTGCCCCAAAGACTAAATCTAAAATGGCTGCCAAACACAACCCTGGATTCCAACTTTAAAAGCCACCGGAACTCAATTGGCAGACCTTCATCTCGTGCGTCAAGATTGCCGTCACCTCCAGGCACAAAATGTATTTTCCATGTTCCTGTTTTAGCATCATCAAGAACACGCACACACACACACTCAAGCCGATCGGCAGGCAGGAAGTCTGCTGACAGGCAAGAGGAGGGCTATGCAGTCATTGCCAAGGATGATAATGGTGGAATAATGACGCTTAAATGGTCCCGGTGAAGTGGTCGGGATCCATCACTCATTCCCTGGAAGCTATCCGACACCTTTGCCACCAACGCGACACACATCTGAAAAATGCTTTCTTTGGACCGCATCATTCTTACGGGTGTCTTCACATGCGGACGTTTTTAACTTGAAGATGGACGCACAGATGAAAGAGTTGTTTCTTGAGACGGCCGGATCGATCGAAGGATGATTTCTCTCGGATCGATGGATGAATGCTTCAACTGGATGGATGAATTAAGGGATGGATTTTTTTTTTTGATGGATAGAAAGTAGGAGCGAGTCATTATGCTTTGATCAGCGCCGAGATGCATCTCCTTTGCGGATAATGTCGGCTGAACAAAAGCGAGTGAATTTTCGTCCTCGGAGCACCTTGTCTCATCGCAGCAGTTTGTCGTCGTCGGTCGCGCGCACAAGAAAAGTAAAAGAAGATGATGATACAGATGCTAGGACAAAAAAAAGAGAGACAATTCAATTTGGTCCGACGCCGACTGCTTGCCAATGAAAACACAAAGTCATCTGACGGCCGTCTCGGCCATGCTTGCTTTCGGAACTTAATACGATGGCCCGCCACAATGGCACCGAACGGTT